GTCTTCATTCCACCTGAGTTGCTTTACAAAGAAAATATACACCCCACAACTCTTAAGAGGGAAAATCGGATAATTGGATAGCTGTGTAGTTGTACAGCTTTTCATTGAAACATTATTATGTTGGCCTTGTACCCAATAACTCCTCAATGCTCTCTGCTTGTACCTAATAACTCCTCAATGCTCTCTTAAAGGGCGTGTTTGGATTTCAATGGGGTTAAGGGAAGTTAAGGGAAACTAGGTGAGAGAAGAGAAGGGAAGGGAAGGGAGTTCTCTTCCCCTTGGTTACAACCCAATTTGGGGGGTAACAAATTTTATACTATTAAGGGGTGAACTAAGGGGAACTAGGGTGAATAACTTCACCTTCTAAATGTTCCCAAACGAGGTGAATGGTTCCCCTAACTTCCCTTCTCCCTTATTCCCCTCAATCCAAACAATAGGATTTTAAAATACTTAGGCCACGTTTGTTTTTCTGAAAAGTGAGTGTTCTATTGTAAAATAGTCTGGACCCACCTCTTTAGTCTGTGTTTGTTGTTTAATCCGGGCCATATTATATTTCAGTAGGGGCTACTTAATACCCAACAAGGAGACTAAGCTAATCCAACTTCATCCCGACCTTTACAAACCAAGTATTAATCACCTGGGGGATTAATATTTTTGACAAAGAAGCCCACATCCTTTTAGTTATATAGACTTTTTCCTGAGTCTGCTCTCTTTTTTTTGGGCAAATTATTATTGCAGAATATATTTCTGTGAAATATTTGTTTGCTGGTATGTCTTTCTACCATTTTTATTTCTATCACACAGATCACACAGAGCACAAAAAGAAGAACAAAAAGAAAAGGAAATTTGATTGTTGTGAAATGAATCAAACGCTGATCGAGGCAATTAATTCGAGTGGGCGAGCTTTTATGACTCAACAATTGTGGACGGGGAGTGTGTGGGATGTGCGACATGTGGAGGCAACTTGGAAATCATTTTTAAATAATATATGATATGGTCAAGAATGCTAGTAACAACACTTAATGAATAGTACCTTTTTCAATATTTCGTCGTAAATTGTGGTAAGGAAATATGTACCATAATATTTTTAAAACTATTCAAGTGAATTTTGACTTTTTGGACAACGTCATGTCTAAATTTTGAATTTTTTTTTCAAATAGGTACATTAATGTGATATTAGTTGATTTGAGGGCAAAAAGGTCTTTCTAGTTATGATATTAGACCAAACGGTCATAATCCTACTAAAAACAAACACTAGGTTTGGTATGGACTATTTTAAGTTAGTCTAAATGTTGGTCAGTGTGAAAATGAACACTGGATTGGACTAAAATAGTCTTAGGATGGTACAGTCTTAGTACTGTAGTCCGGAGAGTACAATACCTGTATGGGGACAAAAAGCAAACGTGGCCTTAACACTTAAGTACATCATCTTTCATTAACACTTAAATAGATAAGTTGTGGATCACAAGCTCCATGAAGAGGTGGCGGTTTATAATTGGCTGTCAACCCAACTTTAACATGGCAAATTGGTGCCAAATTCCTTTGCAAAGGAATCTATAGGCACCAGACTACCAAAGCACCTCAATGTAATGAGCTGTTTGTATGTTTTGTGTAAATGTCGGTATTTATGACACCCCATGGAAAGTGGTTGTCCACCTCACCATTTTCCATTTGGGCTTTTACATTGTTTGATTTGGATTTCTTGTGAATCCTAAAATGATACTAAAACCCTTATTTGGATTGGATGATGCAACCTTGAAAAGTGATAGTATGTGGACTTTATTCAAGAGATTCATTACCCATGGGTAAAATTACCTCCATAAAACACAAAAAAGATCTAACAACTCAATTTATCTCTCAGCTAGTATCCTAAAATAAGAATTTTCTATCATAAAGCAAAAGATAATATATATTTCTAAAAAAAGTTAAACTTAGGCAAAAGTTCATAGCGTTACTCTCCATTATGTTATAAAACAACTACATATCAAACTTCATACTTTGTATACAAATCAAATAGAGCATATATCAAAATCAATAATTTGTTGCTCAATTCTCTGATTTAAAAAAAAAATCTCTGATCAAAGGAATATGCATTAGCCATCAAATGATTTCACAAATAACATCAATTCTCAAGTGAATTCATTAAATAAAACACCCATCCCTACAACAAACTAAGCATAAATCTTAAAGTCAAAGAGAATTTTTTTTGCTAGGCAAGCATTGTCTCCAATAGCTGCTTTAAAGTTTATAGCATTACATTTTCTGCAGCAAAAAACTATAGCGTTAATCAAGTAAAAAGTAAACTTCAAACATATACAAGTCAAATATGTCAAGTACCAGAATCAATAATTTGCGGGTTTTTTGCTAACCAATGAAAAAGTCATTAACCAGCAACATGGTAATATAAAGCCTCATAATTGAGCATATGTCTTCATAAATATAACTACACATTAAACTTCACAATCACACAAATCTAACGTATCAAATCTCAAAATCATTAGTTGAGTCTTTCCATTGAACTAAACAACCATGTTGAAAAACAAATTGAGCATAAGTTCTCGAACTAAACAGAATCAAAAACAAAAATCTAGTACAATTACATCTTGCCGGTTGCCACCTCGACTTAGCAGACAACTGATCAGGCCTCATATTTTTCAAGCATCGAAAACCCTCAGGCAAGAACTCATAATCCCTAGAATCCTATAGAGGATAATTTGCATCCTAAACCCACTCCCCTTCGGACAAATCACAATCTTATTCTCAATAACATCCGAGCACTGACAAATTCGATAGTGGCATTGGAGGAGAGGGATTGGACGAATTCGATACCGGCATTGAAGGAGGAGGAGGGAAGAGAGTGGTGATAGATGCCAGTGAACTCCATCATACATTTTGTTTGGGGATTATAGAGCTGCGATGGAGAAGAAGAAGAAGAGACAGAAGGGAGAGAAGGAGGTAACCCTAAAAATATAGGTGTGAATTTGTTGGGAAAAATTAATTTTTTAATTAATTAGTCTGACACATTTCAGCTTTACAGTCAAATCGCTCTGTTTTGGATGGAGTTGGGTTTACATTGACACATCAGCTTCTTGGTGGACAAGTCAGCATTTTACCATGCTCCTAACATTGCAAACAAACAACAACAAACTCAGAAGGCTGCACCGCCATTTTACCTTTAAAAAAAGCAACCAAAGAGCCCCTCAATGCCATAGGGCTAGTCTTACCATATTGGGTCATGGATTTATGAATTTATCAGACTCGCCTAGGCTTTGACCTTGTCCTCTTGGGTGAGGAGCAAAATTTGGAATATTAAAGTTGATTAGTAATAGGAGGGAGGGGCAAATGTGGGGTGGGAAGGACAAAAATCAATATAAGGTGGGTTGGTATAATTGCTCTTTTTAGGGGAGCTTCTTTAACTAACTCCTCAAGAATTCAAATTGACTATGATTCTAACCTTCTATTTCTACTTTTAAGTCTTTTTTGCTATATACTGACAATTCTATGGTGATAGCACCTAACTATTTGTTTTACTAATATAACAACCGCTGACACATGTAACTAGCATGATTGTTATACTAGCACAATTTGGTATTAGGATTACTACATAGAACTGTTAGTTGCTATGACTAGCAATGAAGGACTTGTATAATATCTGCTCCTCGTCTTTTAGCATAACAATCTCTTTTGTCTTTAAGTGAGTTTTAATTTTAAATTATGAATTTTCCATCTTTTGAACTGATTGCATGTTTAGTGGTCATTTTATCCATATGGTTGGGGTTTGATCTTGCACTTGTATGTCATTGGTAGATAGGCAAAGGAAAGCTTGATCTTACTGGTCAAGCACTTCAGTTGTACTACTAAGGAGTAAGGAATTATCCATTCTCCAACTAGCAACTAGTAATACTTGTTACTTGTTAGACAAAAACATTATGACAAGAGGCATATGTAGTAATTTTGCATGTTATTGAGTGAACGTGAGGAGAAAGTTCAGGCCTTGGACTTGTTACTTAGCTTTATTTACTAAATACTATGTCTTCAAAGCATGCATCTTCGAGTCACAACTATGTTGTGTGAACGCATATCAATAAAAAGAAAAATGTTATAGTGTTTGCATATGTATGCCTAACCTATAGGTCCAGGTCCACATCTCAATTTTGGAAGGCATGAGCCTAAGGTTTTAAATATCGGTTATAGAAGATTTATCGGACAGTCAAAATCCATACTGGATAGTGGATATCGGGGGTAAATAGTATTTATCAGAATGACATTACCGGATGGTGATATACATAATATAATATTCTAAAATATAATCTAACCATATTTAATAAAATATAAGCATACCAAAATGTAAATAATTATGTTTAGGATCACTGACCAATGGTACAAACTCGGGTCGAGTAGGGTTTAAAATGCATTGACTAGGTGCCTGTTGCCTGAAGTCAAAACGCAAATCAAAGACAAATAATTTTGATTTTTGGGCTGACAATATCGGCCGATAACTCACTTTATCGTCGTATTTTCAGCGATAAACATCTAAAAACGATAACCGATTTAGAATCGAACTTATCATAGCGGAAGGCCCCCAAAATTGATAAATCGCCAATAATATCGTTTTATCGGCCGATATTTAAAACATTGCATGAGCCTAGCTTCTCCAAAAGATGGGCTTATAAGTCACTTTTGTGGCTTATAAGCCATTGAGACATGTTTGATTACCAGCTTATTTTGGTTTATAAGTCCAAAAAAATACGCTGCTTTAACCCAAAAGATGGGCTTATAAGTCACTTTTGTGGCTTATAAGCCATTGAGACATGTTTGATAACCAGCTTATTTTGGTTTATAAGTCTAAAAAATAAGCTGCTTTAACCCAACTTATTTTTTGGTGGCTTATAAGGCACATAGTTTGATCAGACAATTGACCAAGTTACCCCTCAACATTTAAGATATTCCAAAGCATATTCCTCTATCTCCAACCTCATTACTTTAGAGTCAAATCTTTTTTGGTCATTTTGACAACCATGATGGATTATAATCCATCCATTGCTAAACACTCTCCTATTGAATGCGGCTTATAATCCACTGTTTTAACGTAACACTTTTGCTTATAATCCACTATTTTAACCAAACACTTTTGCTTATAATCCACTTGGCTTATTATAAGCCAAGTGGATTATAAGCCAAGTTCCCAAACATGCCCTTGAATTACGATGTTGTGGGTACCTGCCTACACTAGACTTCATACAAGAAACTCTGAAGCTTACGTGGAAGTTTAAAGTTTTGACACAATAAACTCTAATTTAAGAGGATCTTGCTAATTAAATATAACTTGTCAGGACCATTAGCTTAATGATGAGGGCTAGGGTAGAAGTATTAGAAGCTAGATTGCATTTGTACGGGTACTGGTACGAGTGCGGGTACGTGACACGACAAATTTGTAAAAGGTAGGGCACGAGGACAAGACTATATATATGCATGTTACGTAAAGTTATATGTATTGAAATTAATTTGTAAAAGGTAGGGTACGGGGACAAAGACTATATATATGCATGTTACGTATAGTTATATGTATTGAAATTAATAATTTACATAAGATCTATATTATTTTTTCATTTACATAAGCTCAATACTATGTAGCACGGACACAGATCCGACACGACCATCCGACACGCCGACACGAGGCAAATCCTAAAAAATACATAGGATACGTGTGTTCGACACGTGTGTCCGACACGGACACGACACGACACGGCTTCATGCTATGCGTGTCCGTGCTTCATAGGCTCAATATATAAGAAATAGATGTGAAGTATAGAATATACATTCAAGAAGTGTATGAGGAGTGTTTTAAATTAAAACATGTCTTATATAATTGAGTATAGGCCGAATAAATATATTCATGTATTCAAGAAGTGTCCAAGAGGTTTGGGTACGGTGCAGGTATGTGTTGGGTATGAGTACAGGTATGGCTTCATAATAGTACCAAGGTAATGTGGATTAGAAGTCTGTATGATTCTTGGCTGAAGCAATAATTTTCTTTTCCCTAGTCAATATATTAAATAATTTAATTTCTTTAGCAGATAATTAATTTTAGGCCTATATAAGGATCATTATTTTTTGGGATAAGTGTGGATACCTCCCCGCTCCCCAAAAAAAGTATCGCCCAATTGTAGATAGACCCCCTATAGTTCTATTTGTGCGGATAGACCTCTTGTGATTTTTTTTGGCTCTTAAAGGAGTCAAAAGAGTTTTTAGGACACGGATAGACCCCTTGTAACTAATACTATTAGTGAGGATAGACCTCAAATTGCTAACTTTTCGAAAAGGTTCACTGAGGGGTTTATCTGCACTTGGGCAAATATTGTAGGGGTTTATTTGCACAAATAGAACTACAAGGGGTCTACCCGCAACTAGGCGATAATATAGGGGTCTATTCGCAATTAAGCCCTATTTTTTATTACGAGTATTTTTTTTTCCTACTAAATTTATGTTTTCTTTTACTTGTATATCCAAACTTGTTTTATTTCCTTACACATGGTCGAAAAAAATAATCATTTGTTGGTTACGCCACAAAAAAATATAACCAATAATGGAACCCATTTTATTTGGGAATATAGGGAGACATCTTATTCTTTCCTATACTTCAGCATGTGCATTACATGAAGTATTGTTATGTATCATTATCATCATATAATAGCAAAGTTCTTAGTCCATGTCATGATTTATATTCTCATATGCTTACACAGATGACCATTCAGCTCCTTGGCGTGATTCTAGAGGAGAGTACTCCTCAGGAGCTTCAGGTATATAACTAAATGCCTCTTCAAAGTCTCTTATGATACTGACTTAAAAAAAATAATCGTTACTTTTGCAGAAACAAGCTACTATTAGGCCTTCTGTTTTGGAAGTTCTTTTGGAGATCTCCAAAA